GGGGGAAAAAAAAAAAAAGAAAAAAAAAGGAATAAAATGGAGAGAAACTGCGGACGAAAAGCGAGTGTTAGCAAACGAGCCGTGGCGGTTATAGTGGTTTTTCCACGTGGAAAAGTCAGTGGGCGCCGGAAATACGAAACCAGCGTTTATATACTCCCGGAATATAAAACATCTCGGCCACTTGCTCGCAGTGCATGAACACGAAAGCCTTTAAAACTCGGCTGCGGACGGCACCGAGTGGAAAAAAGAAGGTAATTCCCCGCTGTAAAAAAGAGGAGAGCAGACGGTGGGAATAGTGGGAGGGGATCCAGTGATATTCAACTGCTGAATTAAGCAAAATGTTTCGCTGTAAGGATCTCTCGAATTTTTTCCTTTCTTTTTTTTTTTTTTTTTTTTTTTGCGCTGTCACTGGTTATCGACCAATCGAGTATCGATTCAGGAGTTAATTAAGATTACACGACGAGGCGAACACGATGTCTATTCGAGCGTGGTAGTCTGTCTCTTCTCATTAGACATCGGTGAAAACGAATCATGAACATATATTACCACGACGTTCGTTTCGAGAAACAGAGAGAGAGATACCTCTCCGATTGGCATTACGTTGAAGAAATAACACCTGCTTCGGGCAGAGAAAGAAAATAATGAAAATATCCTTATACGGGGTGTCTCACAATTATCAAACTCGACTAAATAAAATGAACCTCGTAAGAAACGCGACGAGAAAGTGAGACATACGGTGATCTCCACATCCGCCGAATGTTCATGTTTTTCGTCATTTCTCCATTCAACACTCGTTTCGAGACACCCTGTACAAATCCAACGAGATATATACACACGAGACGATAATGAATAGGTTCGACGTTCCGGCTGAATCATTCCAATTACGCTCGAGCGTACAAACCGCCACCGATTCATTAGAAGAGAGCAAGAGAGAAAGAGAAAGAGCAAGAGAGAGAGAGAGAGCGGTCACTCTCGCGCGTTAGCGTGTTTACGAGTCACTCGATACGTCAGTACGGCGTATGTCCGACAAGTGTGTTGTTGTACCTGTTGCTAACGCGCGCGCGTGCACCACGCCAATACAATAAATTCTTGTTGCGTCAATGATTAATCACGAATGACAAAACGGTGTAATATGATACCGACCGCCGCGGCTAATAATAAATGACCGCGGGACGAACGATTCGATCGTTCCGTACTCGTGGTAACTCGGCCCCATAACTATATACGCTATATATATATATATACATCGAGCGTATATATTTTTTTCTCGCGATTCAATCGAGACGCGATGCTCGCGAACACGTTTGACAAACGAAGCGGACCCGATCCTCCATTTTTAGAACGAACGACAACCGACGACGACTTGATATGTTACGGAGGAGCGGACAGATACGGATGACACGGCTGGAATGGCGGAGAGACAAGGGAGGGGGAGCTTCGATAACCGGTGCACAAACGATCGATTTTTAGATTTTACGACATTTTCGATCGTGCGAAACAAGTTTGAATGTTTTTTTGAAAACGTGGCAACGAGGGATCGCGAGGATTTCGATGGTTGGTTAAACGGTGCCGGTCTTCGCAAAGTTTATTGCCTTGGAGGTAACCTTTGGGTCCCTCGTAAAATAGTTTAAAATGTTGCAGCTTTTGATATTAGGTAGAGGTATCTTGAAATGGTGAATTTCAGGAAAATTTACGACGACTCTCGTTTGTGCTTCGTATTTAATAAATTTTATTACGGACTCAGAATCGTGAGCACGATTTACGTATTTATGCAATTCGTCAAAAGAAGCATTGACTAACTAACAAAGAATTTTAGATTTCTAAAAATTTCTTTCCTCGCGATAAAGTTTAAGTTGAAGATTATTTCAAGATCCAAAATTCAGTGTAAACATTCTCTTCTCTTCTAAATAAATTGGAAGAAAAAAAGCAATGGCCTTTGGAGGAAGCAAGATCGATCGTTCGATCGATGTGTCGAGGCACGACACCGTTCTCGCAAGTCGTCGCGCGATTAATCTTCGAGTTGCGTGAATCGGCGGAAGTGCCACGTCCACGCAAGCAGGCAGCGTGCATTTTATATGAAGTCATTTGCATCGAACGCGACCACGAAGTGTGGCCTATAAATTACCGCGTGTCCGTGATAACCGCAACGCCAAACGAAAAAAGACAATAAACTGCAACGACACGAATGCTTCTGTTTGTCCTCCTTGCCGCTCTCTCTCTCTCTCTCTCTCTTTCCTCCCTTACTTTGCACGGTTACTTTGCACGACTACGATCTAATTGCCACTCTCCACACGGAGCAGAATCAATCGCATGCACGACTGACCGTTCGTGTGCAGGTGAATTAACACGTGACTGCCCATTGATGTTTAGCACAGCTCGTGTCTTTGAACGCTGAAATGTCCGCTCTTTCGCGAAAGGATTATGCAAATCGTGGCTTCTGTTGCGATATCGTTTATTTATCGTTCAATTAATTCGAAGTTTTCATTTTTTATTTTTGAAATCAATTGAATAGTGAGTGGAATAACCAGTGGATCATCATTCCACGACACGAATGATTCCTACGAATCGTAACGTTTATTTAAAAAATTCGATTCGATATTTTTCTTTTTTGGCGTCGAGGAACAAAAGAAGAAGAAGAAGAAGAAGAAAGAAAGAAAGAAAATAATTTAAAAAAAAAAGGAGACGAAACAAAACGCGCAAACAAAAATTTACAACTTCCACAATTTAAAATTTTCCTCTAGAAAAAAAAAAAAAAGATTTATTACCTTATAAAATCACGTTTCCTTTCACGATTTTAACAAAACACGATTCGAAGAACGATTCCCATCAACTACCTACAAAAAGGGTATTAAACACAATGGAAGGAGGAAAGATATATCCAGGATCGTAAAGCCCGCGCATCGATTGCGCGGACGGCCGCGCATGATCCGCGTGGCGCGTAAATTCGAAAGGCGTTCCTCCGCGACCCAACGCGACCTTCTCCGTAGGAGGCGGCCCGTCGACGGTCGTTGTATTCGCGGGCTAATGAAGACGCATACACACCGTGTGACGTCGCCGGCGCAATAATGAAGATCTACGGGCGAAAGTAAATCCTATACATATATATAAATCCTATATATACATATATACATATAGGTATATAACTGTGCGCGCACCTGGCGTGTGCAGTCGACCGAAAAGGAGAAGGTGCTATCCGAAGAAATACGCGGGAAGAAGCCGTTGAACGGGTCGCCGTCTGAATGGCCGATGGTGTAAGGGTCAGCAGTGGTGTTGTGTCGGTTTCATTAGAACGTGCACACGTAGAGATCGACTTGTTTCTTTTTACTTGTCGGTATAAAACGAGTCAGATTTATGGATTGTTCTTGGTAGTGGCGCGCTTTAACACTCCCGCTGTTAAAAGGGTTGTTGTCGCTTATTGATGGAGTTTGTTGTACACGGTGGGGGGAGGGTGGTGGTATACTCGTATTCTTATTTCCGCGGGGTGGTATTTTGTCCTTTTCACACGTGTGCACGTGTGTACGTGTAATGGGGAGAAGTTGGGGATATTATTACCGTCGCTCGTTTATTTAACATACTTCTATCTTGTGCTCGATCTGATATAGACGGATCTAATAGAATTGTTATCTGTTTGAATTACAATCTCCGACTATTTTCGATATCGTCGATAATTCAAAGATAGTTTTTTGATAATTTTAAATAAATGGACGGGTCTAATGGAATTGTTGTCTGAATTACAGCTGGTCTGCCTCCGACTATTTTCGATAATTCAAAGATAGTTTTTGATAATTTTGAATAAATGAAGATTGGGGAACAAAGTTCTTAACGGTAATCCAAAGAAAGATATTGATTTTTTTATAATTCTGATGCGACACACGTTTCTTTGTCGCCTTGAGATAATCTTTTTATTAATTATAAAATATTTACATTTTTGAGTGTGGAAGACACAGTGCTTATTTCCAGTCGAAGATTAGGTCCCGTTTCTTTTTATAAATGGAATTCTTTTAGAAGAAGAAGAAGAAGAAGAAGAAAAAAGTACAAGCAATAAAGCGTGAGAGTACGTGTTATTAAAGTCTTTCCAACCAGAAAAGTAGGAGCAATTTCCAACCGGATAATACCGTAGCGAAGAAGTTAAATATTCTGGAGATTGGTATGATTAACCGGGAGAGAGGGAGCTACTGGATTTAAAAGAAGTGGTTATTTATGAAACCTCTCGTGTAATTTTCAAGAAAACGAGGAGAATTAAGCGGGTAAGTTGCTCGTTAAATTCGGATAGAGAAGGTGCGTTATTGCTGCGGACATTAACAAATGGCATAGTAAAACGATTTATATCCTCCAACAATAAGCAAACAAAAAAATCTCAAATAATAGAAATTCGCAGTTGTATTTTTTATTTATTTATTTCTTTTTTTTTTTCAAAAAGAAATTTTCCACGAATTGTTTCAAATTTTTACTTTCCATTCTCTTTCTTTCTCTGTCTTGTATATATATATATGGGTTTTCTTTGTAGAATTTCAATAATCGTAACGATAAAATAACATTTTAGTTGGAACTTCCATTAAATTAATATTCAGAAATGTAATAATAATAACAGTAGACAAATTAAGTTTGCAACTTTTGATGAGCTATAATTCTACGAAGTTCGTTTGTTTCTACGACAATATCCAACACGTTATATCGTTTATCATGTAAACTGTATTACAATCCAAACTATTGTTGATAAAACAATTGCGGCCGAGTTTCGTGAAACGTATTCGAATAATTACCAACGTCAACAAACAATGTAATTTTAATGTTTTAAGACAAATTCAAATAGATCCATTACGTGAGAATTTCATTCTTAAATTGAAATTTACACGGTGGTAAAGTGATTGGTGGATTTGGGAAAACGAAGCAGCGCAATATATCTTATTGATTTATTAAAAAAAAAAAGAAAAAAAAGATTGCACAAATTTCACGAATTAAAAAAAATTTCGACATAAATTACATTATCATCGACTCACCATAACGTAGTGACGCTGCATCTCAGTCTTCTCCTGGGCGAGTTTCTCTAGTTCCAATTTAATACTGGATAAAACAAACAAGAAAACACAAAATATAAGCAAAACATTTATAAATACATGAAAAATCTTAAAATAAGAATATATTTATACGAATAAAACTCTTGAAAATTATTTTTCATTAATGAACATTGCATCGAGAGTGAAAAACATTCTCAAAATTAATATCTCAAGAGTTTTGAAATATATTCGCATCATCCACAAGATCGAATCGAAATAGAAATTTAAAAGAATAACGATAAGCTTATTTGTTTGAATATACATGAAATTTTCAAAATATTTATCTGTATTCATTGTATAATTATCGATATATTTTTTCATTCGAAATGTTTTTACGACGAATATAAAAAAAAATCTGTTATGACAGAAGTTTATCACGATCTGCATCTTCTTAAAATGTCATGTCGAAACTATCGAAAGGAGTTGAATAATTCATAGAATGAATCGATGGAGGAATTTATTTGATTCGCGTAAACTCGATCTCGATGGATCGTTGATGCCTTATTTGCCAAGATTTAAACAATTTTCGAGAAGAGGATGATATAAGAAAAAAAAGGAAAATGATTGATTTTAAAATATAATAATAATAATAGTAGTATTTATACAGCTTGTAGACAAACTAATAAACTCACTTCATTATAGATATTTATTAATGATTCGCTTCAGTGGTCGCTGACTAATCGATTATATAGTTCGATAAATTTAACAAGGTCGGCTTCTTATTATTCGAATGATGAAATAGCGGATATGGATTTCATGCATATCCTTTTAAAAGAGATTTAATAATCATAATATTGAACGAAGGTAAAATTAAAATCGAAAATCTTATTCATCTTGTACAACTAAGATATAAAATCTTTTTGTTCATATGTGATTTACGTTCCTTATACTTTTTATAATATTTCCTTTTCGTTTTAATCCGTGAAATATAATCCATATTGCTTACCTTCATAAATGAATGGATAAAAAGAGAAACGTTATATATAGAATTAAAATTTATGATATCATCATCATCATCATGAGATCATAATTTCATATTAATTTCAATTAATATGAAAATGAAGAATAACAAAATTGTGTTGGGGACACTATTTTCGAGAGTATGAAATTTGAAAACTATAAACGAATACAGATGAATATTTACACCAAGAGATATTGGATAATTTTCAATGATTTTGTAATTAAATTTACAGATCGATTGAGCAATAACAAGTGGCATTTAGTATTTTGTAATAATAAAATAATTTAATTTAATTGCATTAAGCGTTTAATTATGTTACGGAATATTATATATCCCTGTAATTTGTATTTCAAACATACTGTAAAATTAAAAAAAAAAGACAGAGAGAGAGATATTTATAACATATTTTTTAATACTTTCGAATGAAAGAATAAAAGAAAATTACTTTCGCAACTTTGTTTCAACGATCAAAATTAATTAAAGTTAAATTAATCAATTCACAATACGAAAGATCAATAACACGTTTCACGTGTCTTTCTGTTAGAATGGAAGATAAATCGATAAATCAACTTGCCAGATATTTCATCCATAGATATATATAAAGAAGTCAAATAACACAGTAGATAAAATTCACGATATCGAGTCGCATGTAAACTGCGCAAATTTTTATGCAAATGCATACTTTTTGTATTACACATTTTACATAATTTGCATAACCAACAAGGTATATACGATCGAAAAAAAAAGTTTAAGATAATAATTCCTCGATACACACAACCCATAACCCACATTTTCTACGTTTTGCCTTTTATATTATTTACAATTTGACGGTTCGAAAATCAACCAGAAAAATATGTCGATCGAAAAACCCGTCCAACCCAATCCCACAAACGGTTGGTTGATTTTTCATAGACCGATCTTTTATCGACACGCGGTTATCGGCTCTCGGGCAAAATAATAGGGCGTTAAATGGAAAATTAATTTCCATCGATGGTCCGGGGAGAGGAGGAACGGCGTGAAACGAGCATAAACCGCGTATAAGGCCCCCTCCTTCCTCCTCCCCCCACCCCTCCTCCTTTTCACGGCGGAAGTAATTTTTTAACGAGAACGCGCGTCATATTTTTGTTTACCGCGTCGACAGCGAAATAGACCCGGTGCCGGCGTTCCTGCGAAATTGCATCGCCGCACGCCAATTCCGTATAATAAATACGCGCTCGTAACGGTCGAGCACCGACCGATGCCGCGTAACCCCGGCCGCGCGTGGAAAAACCTTCCACGAGTGTCGGTACTCGTAACGATTGCTCACGTAACGATGGTACACGTTTACGCGTTTGCAACGCGTGCTCAAACTCGGTATCTCGCGAACGGACCCACGCGAGATAATTCCCCGCGTTTTCTCCGCGTTATAACACCAATTAGACGGGGAGGATTACGCTTTACGATATTTTTCTTCGTATTAGTTCGAGTTGTGGAACTTCGATAGTCACTTTGTGTAAGTTTTACTATCACCTAGAAATCATGGGTAAATGCGATATCATGGTTTCGATCGATTTTCTTCGAAATGTTTCGAAGTGTTGTTTTCGCACGATGATGATTATGAAATTTTATGAAAATGTGAGCACGAGAAAGGAAAGAGGTTGATATATTGATATATTATTTTGGGATGATGATATTAAGAAGGTGGACCTGTTTAACTTAATCTTTCTACTTTGTATTTTTTGGATCTATGCATATATATAGCAAGCGAATAACGGGATTCATTGTTGCCGCGAATAGAAAACGATGTATTATTAACGAGCAACGTTTTTAATTGTGTTATAAAGCGGAAATGACTGATGGATATATATTATCTCTTTCTATCGAGAATATAATGTTTTTACGTTTTCGATTGATCGTTGTAGCTTAAATATTCCATAAATAACAAATTAATTATGTGGGATTGGTTTAACGAATTCAGAACGGGACAGAAAAAGCTAGGAACACGCCTTCTATAATCTTGGAATAACGTGGGTGGATACGGTACACCGGTGTGTAAACACATCCTCTCCTCCCATCTCTTGTTTTCCACCATTCTTTCCACCTCTCGGCTTACCATCCCATAATACCTTTGTATCTCTGTTTTTTCACCGGCCAGTTTCTCGCACTCCAATTTAAGGCCGCATAAAGGGAACAAGAACAAGGTATTAATATCCACCAACCCTCGTGAACGCAGAATTTGCCTTTGTTTGCCTGTTCGTTCGCGTTGGCTGTCGTTATAATTCTGGCATTAAATTAAAACGCACGCGTTCACGTTTCCGCGATGACAATAAAACTAACGAGAAAAATTGTTAACAACCGAGAAGGGGAAACAAAGGACTGAAAGAAGACAGGCCGGCTAATTCAAACACAAACGGAATAAGAACATCAGTTTCCCATTCGTCGAAAGAAAGGATAATAATTCGATCATTCTCGTAAAACTTTTTTCATGATATACAACTATTCCAAATAGAAAAAAAGTTATAGAAACATATCAAATTGTGATACGTATCTGAATATTCAAATAATCGAAACATAGAAAAGAAAAATAGTATAATTATAATTCTGCTTGGAAAAAAGAATCTTATATCTAACCTCAATCTATTGTCTCTCGCTTGTTCACTAACCTTGTCGTATCTCTCGTCACGATGGAGAAATCTCTATCGATCTAACGATCGAACAAACGTTTCAAGTTTCAATTTTTCATTCGTTAACACACAATTAACAATTAACATTCGTTGAACAAAACGAAATCGATCGAAAAAAAAAATTATCACAAGATCCACGCACGTAAGCGAACGACACACTGCAGCGCCACCACGCCAATATGGCGGCCATCGATAGGCGAGTCGAGATTCGATTATCGTTCTGCTCTCGATTCTCGAAGCGCAAATCGACACTGGCACAGCTGTATGTCTCGACCTTTGCTTTTTCAGTCGTGAATGTCAGTCTGTAGTGTTGCGGCACGATCTGTGATCGACGGACAATGTTGTATCGCGCGTGCACGCGGGACAGTCGTCGTGGCCGCGTGAAATAGCCCTTCCGGTTGCTGAACGCGATCAGCACGCCCGATACTAAGCGTAACGAGAGACCGTACGCTCGTTTTTACGCGCGTTGGCGAACAGCTTTAAAAGGAACGGTTGAATTATTCAATAGAGGGAGTTCTGCTCGGTTTGGCGCGCTGCAAATTAGACGTTCCTCGAGAACCTTGTTCGGCAAAGGTATTCCGGTTGGACGCGTTTTTCCTACGTACGGCATTTTCCAATCTCGCGGCGCAAAGATACTTAAGAGATATTAGTTCGATTGGTTTAAAACGCTCTTCGTCCAAGTTTTTTTTCCTTCTCTTTTATAAATTAGACTCGTACTTCTTCGCTCTTTTCCTTTCGCTTAAAATACTCTACGTATCTGCAAGTTTTTTAGTTTTCAAGGTGAAGTTAAGATACTTGAAATTCCGTATTTTTTAACTTTTCGAAAGCAAAGTTAGGTTATGCGAAATTTAAGAATTCGATTTTACGATCTGATTACTAATCTAGTCGTTCTAATAGCAAAGGAAAATAATAATAGATATTAAATTTCTTGAAAAGGAGAGCAATATACTATCATACACGTTAAAAAAAGAAATGAAAGAAACTCCGAAATAAAAACAAGAAAATATCGTAGCTATTTTCGAAACGATTCGATCCTGTCTCGAAACTTGAACCAACCCCTTGATTCCAGTGGCCATGTAAGGAGGAATCGAGAGCGAGAAAAGGAACGGTTACGTCACGATAAATTAGCACGATATTAACGATCGATCGGACGATAATTCTGGTTGCGGGGCCCAGGCCAGGCCCATTAATTATCTCAGATTGGCGCGGCACAACAATTTACAAGCCCGTCTTATCGGCCGTCCGCTTCTCTCCTCGCCTCCGTGAACGTTCCAACGGCATAAATAACTAAAAGCGAAAACGCGCGCACCTGTTCCTCATCGCGAGGTGTACAACCGTCGCGAAATTCTCCGTCGTGGTTCGGCCTCTCTCAATTTGTAAACAGCAAATTTATAGCCCACCCTATTCCTCCCTCCCTCCTCGTTCGTTCTACAATTCTCTCGTGCTCGCGCCGGATCGAGAAAGCATTTATCCGGGCGTACAGGCGTTTGATAATAAAACTAACGCGGCTCCGCCACTTTCCGCATCATCGAGCGTATAATACACACATAAAATGAATTATTCCGTACGATCGGGAAAATCCTGCGCCACGGCTTATGCAACCTTTCGTTTCCTTCTCCCCAAACGCTGTACTCGGTATTCGGTTGCGTTATGATCGAAACTGTCGGATATAAATCAACAGGGGAAGAGGGAGGAGAAATATATTTTTCTCGTTTAACGTATTCTTCGACTTTCGTCGATAGATCATCGAAGATTATTGCCTCCTGTCGTCCAATTTCGAGCTCCGGAATTTGAATCGATCATAGCTGATTAACATTCAATGAATCGAAGTTACGAATTAAGTTACTTCGACGGTAACAATAATAATCGTAGCTACGAATAAATAAAGTTAAAGTTACTTAAAGCAATACTTTTTTCGAAATTTTCGAAACGATTTACAATTATGTAATTAATCTATACCACTTAATAAAACTTCCTCCCTTCTCTTTTTCCTTTTCAGAAACCAAAAAAGTTCCGGGATCATGCCACGAGATCGTCAGCCACCGCTTCGTCCCGAAACGAGCTCGAGAGCGAAGAGATCGGAAAAATCGAGCATTCTCGAAGAGTTGGTGGCTCCGCCACCGCGAATCTTTCCGAATCGTCCTGTAACGCACGTCGCATGGAACGCGCGTACGAAATGTCACACTCCGCTCACGTACCTCTCTCGTACATATTTATGCATGTATGCAGCACACCGGTCCCTCTGGGGGACTCTCTCTCCCTCCCTCCCCTCCTCCCAGCTCAGTCCCCCGTCGTTGCGTCCACGTTGCGACACGAAACAGCAATTTAAGTTTCCGTCGTCGGTGGAAATCGTGCGGCACGTGACGTCGCGAATTAACACGTTAAAGGGTCGCCACATAAATTAACGTGTCAAGCCGGGCCCCCGATAAGGATCGTAGGATCGGGGCGCACGGGTGAAAACGGAAGAAAGTCCTCCTCTCTCTCTCTCTCTCTCTCCCCTCCCTTCTTATCGGCTTAACTTTTCTCTTGGCCGGTTGCTTGTGTAAGGCTCGCGTGTAACGGCCGAGGCGCGATCGTATCTCTCCGACCGATTACACACCACCACCGCGCGCTTCTATACTTGTTACTCGTTTTTTTACCACTCGTTTTTATTTCGAACGTGGTGACGTGAACGGGAATTCGAAGAGATCGGATTCTTCCTTTCTTTTTTTTTTCTTAGGTTTTTTCGGTTCGGTTGGTTTTTCAATGGAGGGAACACGTTTTTAATCTCGTTTCGTTTGTCACTATATATTTATATTTTTATTTTCGTAATTAATATTAATATTCGTAGGAACAGTGGCGTTATTGGTTTGAGATAAAGGTAGGAGATAGAGTGTTTAGTCTCGAGGAAATGCGAGGAATGGAATTCGAAAATCGAATCGAAGATTATTAAGTGGAGGGAAGAAGAAAGAAAAAAAATGTTAAAATCCAACAAACTTTCGCCTCTTCGCACCATCTCCGCGATTATCCCTTTATTTACCCCGAAGATTAACTTCTCGAATTACTGTTTACCGAAACAAGCCATTCACCCAACAAAGGATGGACTCCAATATCGAAACTTGAAGAGCCATAAAGCGCGTTTATCGCGGTAAAGTACAATAGGGGAGTAGGAATGGTTGGAGAGGGGTCATTCGAAGAGAGATCGAGTGGCAGCCGTGTCGAAAGAAAATATGTTACAAGACGTATTCACAAGGAAACTGAATGGTAGACGCGTAACACGCGTGCATAGAATCGAAACCGAGAGGCTCGTCCTCTTATATGTGTGTATGTGTGTGCATACTTGAGTGTGCATAGCTTCCGCTCGGACAAACAATTCTCTGCCTACAACTGTCGGCCTGCCCCTTGCTCGCTTCGCCTACGCGCTTCGACACGACGTTTGCGCAAACATTTCCCAAGATAAGATCAGACGTATGAAGAATTGACTCTTGGTCGATTAATTATCTTGGGATAAAATACCATTTTGTTCTATCAGGAGAAGAGGGGAAAAAAAAAAAAAAAAAATAGAGAAAATACGATTGCAAAGATAAAAGTAAAGAGAGTAAATAATAAGAGTATTTGAATGGAATTTTAATCTTTTTCTCTCGATCGATTAACTTGTTACAACAATGATGTTTAAGAGATAAATAATAACTGGGTTTCACCGTTTTTTTTTTTTTTTTCTTTTTTTTCCTTTCCGCCCTTTTGGGAAAAGGAAAAAAGGGAAAAAAATAAAATTCCATTCAAATACTCTTATTATTTACTCTCTTTTCTTTTTTCTTTGCAATCGTTTTTTCTCTTTTTTTTTTTTTTTTCCCTTTGGCCGTTTTGGGAAAAGGAAAGAGGGGAAAAAAAAAAAAAAAACGGGGTTTCCCCTTTTTTTTTTTTTTTTTTTTTTCATTATTTTCACTTTCGTCGATTATGGAAAAGGAAAGAAGGGAAAAAAATTAAATTCCATTGGGAATTAATTGAACGTTGTCCTCCTTCGCGTCAAGAGAAATAATTCTCATGCCGCTACTACTATTACGTTTCGCTACGATTCATTTTCACTTAATTCACGTCTGACAACCGTGTGTCGTGGCGCGAGAAACATAATTCCTACTTTCACCGACAGCGTATAATTGTTTGAATGATTACAAACGATACCTATCTATCTATCTCCTCGTAACGTTCGATCAAAGAGAGAGGAGGTAAATAATATTTAATCTGAAACTTGGATCGTTTGATCCTATCTTAAATAAAAACGTGACGCGTATAATTTTTCAACGGGGATTCTTCGAATTCTTTTCGAAAGAAGAAGAAAAAAAAAAACGTTACATTTTTCTCGAATCGAGAGAAAAAAATTCATTCCCCCCCCAAGGAGGGGGAGGGATGATGATCAAAGGGGATGGTTGATTTATAACCAAAATGGAAATAAAGATTTACCTGTGATACTGCGTTTGAAGGAAGTTGAAATCCTCCTTGATACGATCGCACAACTCGCCGATCGAGAATTTATATTGTTGACCTGGTTGCGGCGGACCCTGAAACATCGAATAAAAACTTGAGGATCGGCTCGGTTTCGGTCGAAAAAAATATTTTGCTCGACAACACCAAAGCAGAAACACGTTTCCCAAGGATGAAACGAATCTTCTCTTCCTCCTCGGCATAAAAAATACGCAACAATACTTCGTACATTGTTACACATTTTGTTAGAGGAGAAATTACAATTACCGTTTAAATTGTTATCCGGATGAAGTCAAGCGCCATTTGTCTTCACGATGGTACAACAATGGTATGGTTTTCGAGGTGTGGTAAAAGATGAGCATTTAGCCGCGCGTGCTTCATTTACATTTTATCGGGGAAATAAAGTTTTCTTTGCACGTTGGCGGAAAATATATATATATATATATATTTTTTTTTCCACTCTTTTGCGCGAAAAAATACGAAAGAATGGTAAATTAGGGGGTGAAATTAAAATATCCTTACGCGAATTCAATTTAAATTATTCTGAACGAATAATTGAAATTTCGATAAAAAGGATATTATAAAAATAGAAGATATATTTACACTTATTTTTATTTTTAATATCTCAATTTAGCTTTAAAAAGAAATCAATGATGATAGCCTTGATGATAGTTTTAATTATTTCTGATGGCCTCTTATTCCTACGTCGTCCAATTTAAACTTGATTGAAAAAAGGGGGAAGAGGGGGAGGAAAATTTGTAAGTAGTAGGGTATTATTTTTACGTTAAATACGATAAAAATTCTGGGGGAGCATTATCTAAATAACGAACGGGCTTTATAAAATTCCCTTGAAGCAATTGATTTTTAACCCACCATCAGAGTACACAGGTCTCGAACGTCTGATGTATAATGTACTTTCCCATGCGAGGCAACGGCGTATCTCGTCGACGATGAAAAAGGAAGCCCTCGAAGCGGCAGGCGACTAAAAGGTTACCCTTAAACGACTCTGCTTGATCTTGTTTGCAACCGAGCGTACCCCGAGACGAGAGGCGGGAAAATATTTTCTCGTGACTCGAATTTCCATCGAGGGAAGGAACAGGTTGCGCGAAACACCAACCTTGTCTCGATCCAGAATCAAAACTCTCTACTTCGATACACACAAAAAAAAAAAAAGATATAATCGAAGAATAAATCGATATCGTTTCCCTTTTTCCCTGCACTTGTATCGTCTTTTTCAAAAAAAAAAAAGAAATCCTGTGTAAACAATGTTATTTCAGTCCATTTCTTTAACCGCAGACAAGTGACGAAAAAATATTAAGCTCGTAAAAAGAATCATAAAATGCTCGATGATAGTTCTGTCAGAGTTTCGCTCGGTGTGTGTTTACATTTAAAAAAAAAAAAGAAAGAAAAAAAGAAAAAAGCGCGCATTGACGATCTCGAACAAGGTCTGAATTTTTACGACGGTACAAAAAAGAAAAAGAAAAAAAGTCGAACAATTCGCGGCACGAGTGCTGCGATAATCCATCATCTCTTGTACACATACCATAAAACTCGATATATTTATTTCACTCGTCTTTTTCTCCCTTCTCATGCTCTCCTTACATCCCAACAAAATGAGAAGAAAATTTTCAAAATCTTTAGAGATTAAATCCCGATAAATCCCTCAACATCTTTTCCAAGTATTACATAATTGTTTCACTTAAACTTCTTCCTACCATTTACCACGATAAATACAAATCCTCTTTCACCAATAATAATGGATAATGCACCCCTATTTATCCAATTTTTACCTGTATCCTCGAAAGCGTCACGTGATTCGGAGTCGAACGTTTTCCAAGCGTAATCGAACACAGCGATTGCGTCGGAACGAACGGTAATCCTTCGATGTGCCGGATGCACTTGTCACGGCCCACGTAAGCAGCCGCCTCGAGGCATGCACACACGGATGCAACCGGCATAAGCGGCGGAAATCGTGCCGCTGCTTTGGCTTCCGTTCGCTGATTACGCCTACAGTTTAAACCTGCGCGTATATACCCCGACAGAGACGTGCTACTTGCACACATATATATATATATCTATATATCTTTCACTCTCTCTCTCTCTCTCTCTCTCTCTCTCTCTTCGAACCGACAATTTCAGCTCGTAAAAGCTCGGTCTACGAGAGAGAGAGAGGGAGGGAGGAGGAAGAGCGCTAGGAAAAAAAGATTCCGGAAACACTTTAGATGGAAATCGGTTCACGTCGACCGCGAGAAACATTGTTTCCTAGCCGGGGGAATATTCGCGGAGGAACGAAGTTTCTCGTAAAAGCGTAACACTCCGGCGGAATATTGCCTCCTCGAGTGTAAAGACGCGGCCAACTACCGCTATACCTTTCCGGGGATAATCGACTCGGGATGTATAATCGGCCGGTAATTGTCGTTAATTAGCGGCATCGTCCAAGTCCATTAATAATTATCCGGCTTTCGATAGAAAGGAGGGATAAAAAGGGTAAAAAAAGGGGGGGGGAAGGAGGAGATAATCGGAAACTTCTTCTTCTTCTTCTTCTTCTTCTTCTTCTTCCTCTGGCAATGTTTGCAAGAGTTTATAAGGATCTTAACCTTAGCAAAAACCTTCGAGGGGAAAAATTTGGAATTTTTAAATCTTGGAGTAAAAAAAGAAAAAAAAGGGATAGAAAGTTTCTACGAAAGTTAATATTTTACGTTAGATTCCGAGCGATTAGTAAGTTGACGCGTTGATTCGACATTACATTAATTCGAATTATGCAACGAAAGGAAAGTTTATTTTTTCGAGGATAAACTTATAGGCAACGATAAAACAGACACAGCCTTGCTTCGAGATCTTTCCAACGGAGATTAAAGTTGCAAAGGATATATTTTTAAGTTACAGAGATCCGATAATACAATACACGACGGCTCGATACTCGAAACCACGAACATCCAGAGAGACGTTTCTCCGTATTTCGAAATGAAATTTACATTATACCCTGAAAATCGGTGGTTCTTACTTATTCGAAGGGAAGAGAGGGAGACATTCGAGGTGTCAAAGGACATTTCGCTCGCGTCACTTTAAGATTTTCCAACGTCCAAAGATATCCCAGTTGTGTCGCGAAATTGTTCGTGGATCGATAAAAGATCCGCGATATCCTCGGGGGCTCCTGCTTTTATTCCCGTTGAAACAACGAATGTAAGGGAGAAAGATATATATATATATATATATAGAAAGAGAGAGAGAGAAAGATCGTGGCAGGGAACGGCGGAAATAGTGGCGCAAATTCGGTTGCTGCTCCGGCATTTGAAAGCCCGATGGAAACCCACGCTTACCGACTTTGGCGGCAGCTGTACCAGCGCCCACGACCGTAAAAGCCACATTATTACCGGTAGTACCGCTACCCACCTCCGTATACCTGTCGGTAATAACGTTACGAGCGTGTTATCGATCGTTTTGCACGTCGTACCCCGCAAAACGGATACGCCACGACGGCCTCGTAAAAGCTGAAATAGTTCCTCCACCTCCGCCGCCCGCTGCTCCCTCTCGCTCACCCACTCTGCGCCGACACTTTATATATATATATATATATATACAGAGTTTTCGGATGAAGTGAGTAGAAAATTTGTAGAGCGATCCGAGAGATTAATACGTGTGTAATTGAAGCGCGAGAAGATGTGGGTCGAGGATTATTTATCATTAAGTTAAGTTGTTAAGAGCAATTTCAAATGTTCGTCGAATTGTATATAATTAAAATAATGCGATGCACGATGTAAAAATATTGTGGAGTGAAATTTAAAATATATGAAATAGGGGGGATTTTTATTGTAATTCAATAAATACTCGATTTAACACGTTATTGATATTTTAGGTTTCCAGAATCAATTTTTTAAATTTTCGACACCCTGTATATCGTCCTTGCTTTGAACAATTGAATACCATTTACACGTAGATGTTATTCTATACAAGAGCTTTGCAAGCTTGTACATCTAGCGAGCGTTTTAATAAAAATGATAAAAGGAAAGAGTCCTCTTTCGCACAATGATTCATAAACGTAATAATACATGCAAGAGATTTTCTTCAACTTGTGAATACGTAATTAGAAGATATAAGAAATTTAACTTTCCTCGATTCGTTAATAATTAGAAAATCAAAAAAAACCAATGAAAAAACCAAAGTTCTTGCGAACTTTCTATCAAAAATCAATGACTATACTCGTAAAGTAGTCGATAATACATCAAAAAATTAACTTATCTCCACAGATTTCCCCTAAATCGATGCTCATTCAACAATGTCATCTCGAATAAAATCCGCCAACTTCCCTAAATCAGGGCCACATGGCCACGTTTTTTTCTCTGTACGAAACGTATATATAACGCCTCCAAAATTTCCTTCGTCTACCTTTTAAAAATTATTACCAAATTTAATCTAAATTTTACGATACATAAATTATTCCATTTGTTTCCTACGTCTACCCTTAAACTCTATAAAATTTATAAATATAACATCATCATATTTTTCAACCAATCCTATCCCTCACGTACCTTTATTACGATCCATCGATCCACGTATATTTGTAAATTTAAAAAAATTCCATAATCCAAATAACCTTGATGGATGAAAAATACATATATATCAACCAAATATAAAGCAAACTTTTCCCAACTCGCCCATCGAATGGCTCCCATTTCACGACCACGCTCGATAAAATCCACCACAACCACGTGCCGTATATTACACGAAAACTATCCCGAGCGACTAGAATCGATGCGCTTATCAGGTTAACGTAATATTTGCCACCGTGTAACCCGTCACACCCCATATCTTACTTGTCGCTCGAGTTCGTAACGTGTCCAAGCCCGACCGCCAAAGCATCGTGTTGTACGTATACACCAATGCAATGTATACGAGACGGCGGTGTTTTTCAACCGATATCGAGCAAGCGTGCATCGATGCACGCGTATACACGTGAACCGCCTTTTCCGCCTTTTCGAAAGGGCCGTCGAGGCGTGTGTTCGACGGAGCGTGAGTTTAAAGCGCGAGGAGGAGACCGAGGGGAAGAAAGGGGGAGCGCGGCTGCTGCTGCTGCTGC